GACTGAGTTGCTTAGATTCACAATTTCTCTTCTCTAATCTCTAATCTCTTTTTCATGGTCCAAACTCAATCTCTAACTTCTCCTCCAGCATCTGCCTCCAGCTCTAAAGATCCAACCTTTAACATCAAGATCAAAAGCTTGTGAGTCATGACATGATGGCATGCCTCTAACTCCAACATTTTCCTTTGAGATTACAAGCTTGTACTGACATGCCTCTACCTCTAGCTCCAATGATTCAAGCATCTAGCTTTTGGGGTTGAGATTCCAAGCACCATTGACAAATTAATATTTTATTTATATAATTATGCATATAAATTTTATTTTTATTTAATTTTTATGTCACCAGTTCGACAGCCGTCTAACCGGGTAGACCATGAAAACCGCGATCCATTGCTCTTTTCGATTCTATGTCTGGTCCGGGTTTTAAAACATTGCTTTAACCATTGAAGCATGCTTCCTTTTTTTCCCCCTGTTGCATTTGTTACTTTTCAATTCCAATATTAAAATATTAAGCCTTTTAAATGTTACTTTAAAAATGTAACTTATTTTTATTTCATCTTACATATTTTATATATTTCATCTTATAAAATGTAATGATATACAAAATAGCATTTTTATATAACATTCTTAGGATTAATATTTTTTATTTAAATATTTTTATACCCAAAATTTTGATTAAGTATTATTATTTTAATCATGACTAGTGTAACCTTAAGTTGACCCCTAACTAAACTACTAACATGAATTGTTACCTCAATTGGTTTAAAAATTGATTTGATTTTCAGTATCTTGGCTAAGAGTGAAAGAGGTGAGTGCATTTTTGAAAAACGTATCATTAATATTTTATTAAATTTCAAGGGTCTTGTATTAATTATGGACTAACTGATAAGAGTATATTTTAAAAAAATATCATTAAACATAAAAATGGAACTAGATTTAGTGCTTATCATACAAATGAGCACTAAGAGCTCATTGCCTTTGAATTATTTAGATCTAATTTTTATGGTCCAAATTTATAATTTTTCAACGGGTGTTTTCTAAATAAAAAATTATTTTTAAAAAACTAACAGTTAAGATATTTTTTTTTAATTTCAATTGTATATTAATTAAAATATTTTTTAAAAAAATAAAAATAAAAAGCTATAAATTTCTACGATTCAGATTAAATATAAATAATCTCGAAATGGTGAGCTATCCGAGCTCATCTATGCAATAAACACTGAAATTGGTTCCACATAAAAGACCCTTGGAAGGGAATTTCCAAAGGCCCAAAGCAAAAGACAACATTAAGAAAGCAAGTCTGTAAATGTAAAGACTCAATCCAAACTAACATAGACAACAAAAACCAAAGACCAAACTCCCCCTGACAAATGAAAATACCCAGATTGTTGTACTTTTGATCATGCAGATAAGAAGTTAAGAAGCTCACGTTAGTCAAGTAGAAAACCAGTTCAAAAGCTGGTATTAAATTCTGTTTAAAAGGCACACGAGCACTGTAGCACTGAAATTATTTTCAGAGTTGATTTTGAAATTCAATTCGGCTAAAACTATCCCGTAGGATTTGAGAATCCGAAGCACAACATATATATACTTTGGTTTTGTGATTTTTTAAAAACTTATCTGCCCGAAAAGAGAACAACCCCAGAACAAGGTGACACAAAACATACCAAACAGACAAACATAACAGTAAACAAACTAAACATGAAAGACTCAAAGATCAAACTGACGTTCTCAGCAAAAGACGCTGCTCCAGTTGTTGGACCTCCATGTTTGCTGCGATGCATGAAGGTCCCCAGAAGTATCATGCGTGCATATGAGGTTTTTCGGAACAAGCCTCGTCATACCCAGCAGCAACGCGAACATGCTCTGTTTCTGTTCTTGAAAACAGAGAGAAACTCCTTTTGCGAAAGTTGTGCCCAGACTGAACTCGAGATGAAGAAGCGAGACCAAAGCAGAGATAAACCCAAGCTGACATAAGACTGAACTCGGTTGACTACCATCCAAGTCACTTGCATGCATCAAGTGGTAGAAAGTGGAAAAAAGAGTGGTAAAAAGTGAAGGAGTAAAAAAAGATAGTGAATAGGCGAAAGTCTTGGCTGATGATGTTGATGATTTAAGATCATTAAGTTGAAGAGCCACAGTTAAGATGAAATGCTAACACCTGTGTAGTTGTTTCTGTGAAAACTTGATCAGATAATCGATCAGATAGTGAGTGAAAAAGATCATCATGGTCAAGCTTAGTCCTTTTCTTTTGCGTCAAATTTGAACCGTCGATGAAATCACAAGATTTCCTCCTTAAACAGCAAGACATGCTAGAGCTACCATGAATCATGACACGTGCTCTTAAAGCCGGTGCAGAGGTTTCTGATCTTGAACCAAAGAATCCACAGACCTGAACCTGAAGCATTTGAAGTTGACGAAGATTTGAAAGTAGAAATGAAAATCATTCACCCAGTTGGACCCCTTAGTCCTCCAATCAAAAATCTCATAAACTAAAAGCAACCAATAGAAAACCACCTTAATCGATACTTCATGCAGATGTCTAAAAAACTAGGATCTTGCAAAAGAGAGAGATAAAGAAGACGCAGATCGACGACACTGCTGATGAACATGGCCAACTTCACGACAGTTAAAACAAATCATGTTGATTAGTAAATAGTAAAATCATATTCATTCCCATCTGCAAAGGTGAGAACTCCTTGCAATTTTAGTTGTTGAGAAATGTGTAAAAAAACACGGATCCGCAATCCAAAAGAATTCATAATACTGGATTCATCAAAAGATAAGAAAGTCCCCTAGGAGTTGGCAATCAAGGTAGCAAAAGATTCTGTATAAAACCTGTGAGAAAGAAACATCTTGAAGACGAAGAAATGGCTCCCATCCAAGTTTGAACATGGAGGGGGCAATTGCTCCTACTGGAATAACAAAAGTTTCCCTTAATTTTCAGTTAAAATTACAATTTTTCCAAAAAAAATTATCAAGTATGCATATTTAAAGGTATTGTTTACTCTTATATTTTTTATAAAAATAAATTTATTATACAAATGAAATTAATATATTATTTTAAACTTTTTACTAATTTATTTATATATTACTTTAATTAATATTTAGATTTATATTTTCTTCAAAAGTATTAATATTTATGTTTAGTTTAAATATTGCCCCCTGATGAATTTTTCTGTGCCCATCACTGGCACTGCTTCCATCTTTGTAAAATTACCAAACTTCCATTGAAAACCCATGGACCACCAATCCACATGAAGATTAAATCAAACAAACATCAGAAGAATAATGAGAAACAGTTATGAGAAGAATGAATGATATGAATTTCATCTCTTAGCTCCCAAAACCTGCTTGGGATGTAAGCCTGAAATTTTGAAGGATGAAATCTCCTAGAGTCATGAACTTCAGCGAAGAGATAATGAGTAAGACAACAATAATCTTGATCCATGAATCTACAATCCTTAAATGAATCCATGAAGACACGTAGGAAACCCCAAAAAAGCATAAAGGAAAGGTCAGTGAAGCAGGATGAAAGAGACAGCAAAACAACCAAGGAGATCAAGAAACAAGAGAAAATGAGGAAAGCCTCATAAGTTAGAGACACTATTAAAAAATACCGTATATATAATGCCTCTTATTTAATAGTTATAAGAAAAAATGTTGAATAAAAAAAGGCAGGATTTTGAAAAACTAATATTCAGCGGTTAAAAAAATAACCGTTGAATATATTTATATATATTCAATAGTTAAATATAAAAACCGTTGAATAAAATCGTCAAAAAAATGCTTGGTGACATCACCATATTATTCAACGGTTCAGGAAAAGAAACCGTTGAATAAAGTGTCAGAATATTCAATGGTTAAAATCCAAAACCGTTGAATAAATGTTTTCAAAACCGCCTTATGACATCATCTTATTATTCAACGGTTCCTTAACCAGAATCGTTGAATAAATGTTTATAATATTTAACGGTTTTCCTTGAGGAACTGTTAAATAAACATTTATTCAACGGTTTTTAAATATAACCGTTGAATAATTTCATTTAAATCGCCTCTTCATTCTCCCGAAACCGTTACTCTCAAACGCTCAAAACTTCAGTTCTCCTCTGCAAAACCAGATACCCACTGTCGAATCTCCTTCCCCAAGCACCGAGTCCACATTTCCGGCCAAACCCTTCCATATTTCGTCGTTGGAATGCCGTTGCAAGCCTTCATTGCCATTTTCGTCTTCCATCTTGTGGTGTGCGAACACATAAGTGCTCTACGCTACATTTCGCTCATCTTTCTCTTCCTCTTCCCTCTTCCTCTTCCTTCTTCTTCTTCCTCTTCCTCTTCGTCTCTTTCTTCCTAACTTCATCTTCCTCTTCTATTCCAGTTGCTTGGTTCGTGATTCATCTCCATTCAACCGTGTACGTGCGTGGGTCGGCAAACAAAAAAAGGTTAGTTTTTTTTAAGAAATTGTATAAAATTTGAGTATTTTATTTGAACATTATGATTATTTACAATGGGGATGATTTCATACACAATGTGCTTGAATTTTGGTTGAACGAAAATGCTCTGTGTCTGCTGCCAATTGTTAAATGTGATTGATTAGTGATTTTTAATATGAATTTGTTGTTATTTTAATGTTCAATTTGTTAAAAAAGGGCAGTAAGCCTGGGAAATGCTTAGTTTTGTGCCGTTATACTGCCAAATTTTTTAAAAAATTTTAGTCTTGCAAATATGACCATTGTTAATTATGGTCTAGAGGGAGTTTAATTATACTTCTATCTTGTTTCTTGAATTAGTTTAAAATTTTGTAGGTTAAAATAGTGTAAAGAAAGGGCATAATACTTGGGGAATACTTATTTGAAATTGTTAGGCTGCTGATTTTTTTTAATTTTAATTTTTCTCTTGAAAAGAACAAATATAAGCATAGTTGAAGTTGTTGAAGTAATTAAACTCGTGATTCATTGAATGCTTTTCTATTTTTACCATCTTTCTTAAATAAGGGCATTATGGATAAGGAGTGGATGTCTGCCAATCACCTATCTAAAGAATATTGGGATAAGGTGGCAGAATTTGTTAAGTTTGCGGTAAACAACATAAAAAATCATGAGCGAATTGTTTGTCCTTGTCTAAGTTGTGGTAATGTGAAGTCAATTTCTCCTAAGACATGCGAACTTTACTTGTTTAAGTATGAAATTGATCAAAGTTACAAGTGTTGGGTAAAGCATGGGGAGACACCTGAAGATGTGAATAACAGTAGCCAAGGGTATATAGAAAGTTGTTCATCACCATCATCTTTTGACACAAATGCAAATGAGGCTGATTGTCTTGAAGAATTGGTTGATGTGATGGAAGAGGAACTCGAGAATTTTCCAGAGAAGTTCGAAAGGTTGAAAACTGATGCGGAGACACCTTTGTATGAGGGTTGTACTGAGTTTACTTTATTGTCCGCTGTGTTAGAATTGTACAACTTGAAAGCAACAAGTGGGTGGAGTGATACAAGTTTTTCAAGCTTGCTTTCTCTAATCAAACTAATGCTACCGAAGAATAATAAGCTTCCAGATCGGCTATATGATGTAAAGAAGGTGTTACGCATAGTTGGCCTAAGCTATAAGAAGATACATGCTTGCCTTAATGATTGCATTTTGTTTAGGAATGAATATGAAGAGCTAACCCACTGTCCTAAGTGTGAGACATCACGTTATAAGCAAAATGGGAAGAGTGCGAAGAAGGCAATGTGGTATTTTCCTATTATTCTAAGATTTAGGCGTTTGTATAGCATACGTCAAGAGGCAAAGAATTTAATATGGCATGCAAATGAAAGGATTAAAGATGATAAGATTTGGCATCCAGCTGATTCTCCTGAATGGATAAGGTTTGATCGGAAGTACCCTGAGTTCGGAAAAGAAGATAGGAACCCATGCCTCGCATTATCTACTGATGGGATTAACCCACATGGTATGCAGAGCAGTACCTATAGTACATGGCCTGTGATGATGGTCATTTATAACCTTCCTCCCTGGCTTTGCATGAAGCGAAAGTATATGATGCTATCCTTGCTAATATCAGGGCCCAAGCAACCCGAAAATGACATAGATGTTTACTTAGAACCATTGATTGCAGACTTGAAGTTGTTGTGGGAGACAGATGTAGAGGTATATGATGCCTACAAAGAAGAGATATTCAATTTCAGAGTCATGCTTTTTGGTACAATCAATGACTTTCCAGCATATGGTAATCTATTAGGGTATAGTATTAAAGGACAACTTGGATGTCCCATTTGTGAAGAGGGAACACATTCAATGAGATTGCAACATGGTGTGAAGAACATGTACCTTGGGCATCGTAGATGGTTGGGTGACAAACATCGATATCGTCGGTGGAAAAAGTCTTTTGATGGAAAAATAGAAGAAGAAAGGCCACCAAAGCAGTTGACTGGTGAGGAATTATTTGAAAAGGTAAAAGACCTTGATATTGAATTTGGCAAACTGTTTGCAAAGCATGTTGGAACAAGCGGGTGGAAGAAAAGATCAATTTTTTTGAGTTGCCATATTGGAAGACCTTGAATGTGTGACACTTCCTCGATTTGATGCATATTGAGAAAAATGTGTGCGATAGTCTTGTTGGGACATTGCTTCATATTCCAGGAAAGACGAAGGATGGCATCAATGCAAGGTTAGACATGGTTGAAATGGGCATAAGAGAAGAATTGGCACTGCAGGAGAAGGGAACTCGCACATTTCTTCAAGCAGCAGCTTACACACTGTCTAGAAAAGAAAAGAAAAGTTTATATGAGTTTCTTGCTATAATCAAGGTTCCATATGGCTACTCTTCAAATGTTAGAAACCTTGTCTCAATGAAGGACCTAAAGTTAAAAGGTTTAAAGACTATGGAGAATTTTATTTCGATTACTATACGTGGTATTTTACCCGATAATGTGCGAGGTACAATCACAAAGCTATGTTACTTCTTTAGGTGCCTCTGTAGTAAAGTAATTAATCCTAACAAGTTGCTGAAGTTGCAAAGCCGAATTGTGCAAACATTATGTGAGTTAGAGATGTTTTTTCCTCCTGCATTTTTTGATATCATTGTCCACTTAACCGTTCACTTGGTTAGGGAGGTACAATTATGCGGCCCTGCTTATTTAAGGTGGATGTACCCTTTTGAGCATAATATGAAAGTATTGAAAGGGTATGTGAAAAGTCAAAGTCGACCAGAAGGTTGTATTGTTGAACAATATATTAATAAGAGGCTATTCACTTTTGTGGTCAATACGTAGAGAATTCAAGGAATGTTGATGATGAAGCTACAGAACGGACAACAGGAAGAAAAATTGTCACTATCTCAAGTGACCAATGGGAAAAAGTATACCTTTTTGTGCTGTACAACTCTCCAGAGATTGATGAGCATGCAAAAATTCATAAGGCATAGCTAAAAAGGCAGCACCATCATCGATTATAGAGTTGGATCATCAAGCTGCACAATAAACAGTTCATTCGCTGGTTGAAAGAGCATATCGAAGGGAAGTACAATGCCAATCCTAATTCAGTTTCTGATAGATTAAAATGGCTGGCACAAGGTCCGAGCAAACATGTCTTCTCTTACACTAGTTATACTAACAATGGGTACAAGTTCTACACAAAGGAGCGTGATGACCAAAGTACAATGCAAAATAGTGGTGTATCCACCATAGGTGATAGCATGCACATTTCCAGTGAGAAAGATGAAAAACCTATTTACCCAAAAATGCATTATTTCGGAGTAATTGAGCATATTTGAGAGTTAGATTACATCTCCTTTCGAGTTCCAGTCTTCGGTTGCAAGTGGGTTGAATATAAGAATGGGGTAGATGTTGATAACTTTGGGTTAATTAGGGTGAATCTGAATAAGGAAGGGTTCACAGAGGATCCTTTCATTTTTCTTTCCCAAGCCAAACAAGTTTTTATGTCCATGATCTAGCTGATAAAAAATGGTCTATTGTTTTATTGAGTAACAAGGAAGTTGAAGAAATGAAAGATACAGAAAATGAGCAAAGTCAAAGAAATGATGAGGTTGAAGTTGATCCATTTCATGGGACATCATTTGAAAATGATGATGGTGTAGACAGTATTGAAGATAATGCTTTCTACATAAGATGTGATCATAATGAGGGAATTTGGATTTTCAAGAGGGGGAAATCAATTCAACAAAAGAAGAAGGTTTTTAAATTGAAGAAGAAATTAGTCAAAAAAGGTAGTTAAAACAAGAAAAAGAAAAAAAACAACATAAATAGGTAGTTATGTTATTGTTGACTTATTAAAGAAAGTTCACGTGTTTTTATTATTTTTTTAATTTTTTTAACTTATTCTTTTCTATTTATTTAATCTTGATTATTATTGCTTTCACAGGTAAATGGCTACTGAGCATGACTATCTTAACACTGGCTCTAGATCCAGTAGTCCGAGTAGGCACATGATGACCCGGCTAAGAAAAAGGCTGACCTTGATAAGCAGGAAGAACAATTGAGGAGAGGGTTGGTTGTGATGGAGGAAGTCACTAAAGCAAGAAATGAAGGAAGAAAATTTACTGTCAAGTGGAATAATAAGAATCAAGTAGTTGACAGTCATAACTTCATCAGTTATATTAGTGTGGCAGCGAAGTCCTCAGTGCCTATTACTTTAAAATCTTGGAAGAATGCAACTCCAGCAATGAAGGATGCAGTGTAGAGAACTTTAACAGTAAGATACTATCACTTTGCTTTTTTTTTTACTTAATGTTTTGTAATCGTTTATTTAAATTGACATGTTCATCTTGCAGTCAGGATTTGAGATCGAGGAAAGGCGCAAGAAGTTTGTTCTACAGAAAGCTGGGATAGCCTTAAGATCTTTTAGAAGTTTTGTTACCCGTAAATTTTTTATGAACCCTGACATGGAGGGTATCGAAGATACAGTTCCTTCCCTCATTTCGACAATTGTGAGTGAGGATGAATGGAAAGCTTTTGTCAACTCATGTCGCAGTCCAGAGTTCAAGGTAACATTAATATTATTTTTTTTATATATTGTTGCTTTTGTTGTCACCTCCTTTTTATATTAATTGACTTATTATGTTTTATGTTTTTTCGAAGGCATTAAGCGCCAAAAATAAAGAGTTGGCAAAAAAGAATGAATATACATATAAGGCTGGACGCAAGGGATATACGGGAGTTGAAAAGAGTTTGATTGAGAAAGAGTAAGCGTCGGAGGGTTCTATATCCCGTGGCAGGATTTGGGTCGAGGCTCGAAAAAATGAAGCAGGAAATATTGACAACCCAAAAACAAAAGCGGTTGTTGAAACAATAGTAAGTATTAATGATATATTGATATAATGTTATTAGTTTTTACTTATAAACTTTGCTTTTTTCTGCTTCACAGGAGACTTTGACTCAAGAGACATTAGCAGGCACTCAAACTGTTGATGAGGAAATATTGGAGAAGACGTTAGGGAATACTGACCATCCTAGTCGTGTTTGGGGCGTTGGCTTTGGAGTCACAAGAAAAGATTACTTTGGCGATGCGTTCAAGCATAGTAAAAAGGCTGCTTCTTCTGCTGAGGTTCAAGAGTTGAGGCAAGAGCTAGCGAAACAGAAGCAGCAAATACTAGCACAATCACAACAGATACAAGAACAATCTAGACTCATCGACATGCTGTTGAGCCGGCATAAGTTGGGGCTTCCACTGGGCGACAGTAGCCCTAGTGTGAATGCTAGTTGCACAGTCCCATCTCAACTCCTACCTGAGGTATCATTATTCATTTTACTATAATCTTACACATAATACTACTTTTATTGTTCATATTACATAATTTTTTTCTTTTTTCTAATTTATGTAGGGTGAGGCCGATGTTGATTGTTTGGCAGAAGATGGCCATGTGGTTGCACTGGGGCGCATGTACAACATTACTGGGCAAGTAATGCTTCACAATGAACACATCCCTGAAGGGACAGTGAAAGTCTCTTTGAAGACAGTTGAGGATCCTAATTATGATCTACCCTACCCCACTCCAGATGCAAGGACGGTAGTAGATGCATTGCTCAGCTTTGTTGCATGGCCAGTTCATCTTCTTCGTATTTCGGTACCATCTCCAATAGTATATTTGTTAAACTCCTAATAGAAAATTAACTTCTTTGCATTTTTTTATAGTTGATATATAACAATCTTATATGTTGGAAAAATTAGCCTGTTGATAAGCTGGTGGGAAAAAAAGCACCAAAGGCTATGAAAGCATTCACTACTAAGCGGAAGAGGGAAAAGGATAAGAAGAGCTCTGACAAGTCGAAGGAATCCATCACATTTCCCCAGAAGACACTGGTTCTCCCTCAAGCCCATCTGCCTAAAGCCCCTCAGCCTCAAGCCTCTAAAAGTCAAGTTGTGCCCAATAAAAATTGACAATTGCTTAAGACCTATGTCGAGATGCAAGAAGGAGTGCTGCTCCCTTTCCCTACAGACATGTATGCTGATCCACAGTCTTTTGACCAAGTCAACAATGAGGTGTTAGATGATTTATTCAACCATGTAGAGGCTACCACTACTCTATGTAACTTATATATGAGGTATGTTTCTAAAACCTTTCATTAGACATTTAGCTATATATACACACACACACTTTAATCATATATTGTTCTATTTATTTCGACATTTAAGGAACCTCTACACTACCATGCTTGCTGGAAGAGATATAGCACGGAGGATTATATTTGTCAGTCCTCATATGGTCTCTCCTTATGGCCATGACATAATGAGTCTTAAGCAAGGACTAGAAATATCTCAGAAGCTTTCAAAGTACTTCCATCAACGTGGTGCCGATAAGAACACAATATTTATAGCACCTTATTATGAAGGGTAAGTTACTTTACGATGCTTCACTTTAATTTATTCAAAATTTAATTATTTATATGATACTTTCTAATTGTAATTTTTTTCATAGGGGACACTGGATGTTGCTTGTGATCAATCCAACTTTAGGGAGGGTATGGTACCTTGACCCTATTCAGAGTGGCCATCCGTCTAACAGACCACATATTGTGGAAATGATTAATCAGTAAGTTGATTAATTTGTTTGCATATATCTAATTTGTTCTTTTTGTATGAATATTTCTCATGTCAAGTTTTCTATTTCACGTTAGGGCCATTGTCATGTACCGCACTGATGTTGATCAACAATTTTGACAACTAGTAAAGGGCAGCGGTCGGTTTGATACAGCAGCATCATGAACAGTTGTCAAGGTATATGTATTTATCATTAATTATGTTAGAAATGTCACTGTATAGGTCATGTCATATTATTAATTAACTATTCGGTTATTTTATCCATTGTATGATTATAGTGCCCAGAGCAAGCAGACAAAGTCAGGGATTGTGGGTACGCTGTCATGAAATTCATGAAGGACATAACCCAACATGCTCCAACCGGAATTCTTCCGAATGATGTAATTGTCTTCCCATTCTATTTTATTAGTTTTAATCAATAAACATGATTTTAATTTTTTGTTGTTGTTGTTGCATATAGTACTACGAGACACATACTGTGACACGTATACTCATGCTCAAAT